AAAAAGGGTGAGAGGTGGTGCGCATCCGCCGGGGGGGGGGGTGATTTCTCGATTTCTGCCTGTCTCTCTCTTTCTGGTGAGAGCACATGCCCTATAGCAGAAACATCTCCAAAAATAAATACACAAAAAATTAAGGAACGAAGAAAGAGGGAGGAAGGGAAGCAGGGAGGGAGGAAGAAAAAAGGGGAGGGAAGGGGAGAGGAGGGGAGAATGGAAGAAAGGAAGAAAGAATTTAATCCAGACTGGCAGTGGGAATCAGGGAGTACTTCCTTTAGAAAGTGATGCTTGAACCAAGATCTGTAGGACTGGGATGGGGAAGAGGGCGGTACATCAGGGATCTGAGTATTTTAGGGTCTAGGATAGATGATAAGCAATACTTTCAAGGAAGATAAAGGTAGGTAAGTGTGTCTAGAACATGGGAAAGGGGTACAGAGATAAGAAAATAATGAAAAGCTTTGGAAAGATTTAAAAATAGGGAGTAGAAAAAGAGCTTCTACCATTACACAGGTTATAGTAAGGGTTGCCTATGAGAGGTTTGTAAATGGTGAAAGCACTCTATATTTCTGTTAGTACTATTTAATTCCTACCTTGTTTTCTAAATACACTTTTGTTCTGGATGCCAAGTGACTAGCTGAAAACAGAAGTCAAAACTGGAATCCGTGTTTTTGCCCCTACTCCATCCATGCCTAAATAAATTTCACTGCTTATATTGCTTAACTAATCCAACGGCAGTACCACACAAGTGCTTCATAATGACAGTAACTCCGATCACTTAATAATGTGCCAGGCATTTTCCTGTTTATTTATACTAACTTATGTAATCCTCCATTCTAGAAGCAAGGACCTATTATTGTCCAGATGAAGGCATCAAGGCTCAAACAGGTTAAGTTACTTACCCAAATTCAGTGCTAGCCACAACACTAATCACAGCTTCTGCTTAAATAATGTTATGTGTGTATGTATGGGTGTACACTGTACATCCACATGAGAGAGACAGACAAGAGAATTCACGTGTATAGAGTACCATTCCCATATACCTGAGGATCGGTGTCTTAGTCATCTCTGTACCGCCACACTGCCTGGGGTATTAGAGGGGCTCAGTAAATATCTTATGAATTGGAGGAAGGTAAGAGGATGACAGAGGATTTGATGTGAGTAAAGTGACTGAGGCTTTCCCCAAGTCATGTATTCCCCAGCATTCATTTGATGGCTCTATATTCCCCGGCGCGCTGGCTTCTTTTTATTATTAAATTGGAGATTCGTTCTCCATTACGTTTGCGGGCAGTATTTCAGACTCTGGCCTGGAGGCGGTGGGGGATAATGGAAAGGACAATGAACTCTAATAGTTCCAACTGGCCTGCTTTCAGTCACACCAATTCTCCAGGGCCTTTACAAGAATGCTGTGCCTGGACTCTGGATGTCTTCCTTGCGTTCCTCGGTTCAAACCTCACGTCTGCACAGAAGCCGCCTCTGCCCGTGAAACCTAAATGAGGCCTCAGGCCATCCAGTTCCGTTTCTTTCACGGGATTTACCACTCTCTCGAAGTGTCTCCTTCTTTAACTCCTATTCACCCACAACTCCCGACTTTAGGACAGACTTTGTTATTTACTCCCACCGCCTAAAACGAAGCATTGAGTGAAGGAGAGCAGCTCGGGACTGTCCTCTCAAGCCCCGGATTTATTAAGCCTTCGGCTCCTGGCGGTTCCACACCTACTGCACACCACCATTTCCACGTTACGCGGAGGCTGCCAAAGTAGCCTGGTCTCCATTTTCCAAGCACAGCCATCCAGACGCTCCTGAGGCAAGAGGCCCGGCCTGGCAAGAACGACCGCTCCCCCTGGGGCCGTCCATGAAACCGAAGGGATTCGCCCCCGGCCGCGCCGAAAACCGGGCCAGGAGCCCTGACGGGTGCGCAGGTTCCGAAAGCTCTTCCCGCGAGACCGCGCCGGGGTGCCTAATGCTTCATCCCCTTTATTACTATTGTTCCACGGCCCGGGTCCGTGCCGCGTTCCCCTCACCTCGCC